TTTTTAGGCTTTAGTGGACTATCATCTGAGCCCGGGATTTTATGGAGAGTTACATTGATATCCTCAAGCACGTATATATCTGTAGTTTGATAATTGAAAAAACGAATAGAAAATTGAAATGAAGTACTCTTCCATCAATAATATCCTAATAATCAAAGCAATAGTTATATTTTTTCAATTAAAGAAATCAATTTAATTTATTTATTTTATCAATTTATTTTTTTTTTAAATCACTTTATATTTTGCATCAACCTAGTTTGTTTTATAGTGATTTAGGGCTAAAAACATCCTGGACATCAATGCCTAACACTAATGAATCCAGAAGTTAATTTTGGGGTAGAGCTTCAGCCAGAGAGATTTTTTTTTGGAGTATATAGTAGGATACTTACTTTGGAAGAAAGAAGGGAACTAACTACCTATATGAAATGGTGTTTAAGTAATTTTTTAAGTCCTAATATGTGTATTTTTTTTTTTTTATTTAGAAATATAATAATCTGTCACGTGGGCAATAATTATAGTGATATAGGAACACATTCACACCATATATACCGTAAATATAAAATTAACAAAAATAAAATAATAATCAAAAACTATGTACAATAAAAAATAAAATAACCTAAATACCTGTACCACTACAACCCATGAAAGGTCTGGGGTTCAGTACTATTTAGGGAAAGCACTGTTCCTAGGTCAACGGTTGTGCAAGGAGGTGATTTGACCCAGATCACACTCAACCGCCAAGTTGTTCCCCTTAATTAATTATTTAATTAAAGGTGCCCACTTTATAGAGGCTGGGTGTGCCCCAGGAGGGTCTCCCGACACAGGGTCGCCCCACGGCCAATGAAACAGATCAATAAATTTTCTGCCATGAGCCGGGGTTCGAACCTGGGACCTTTGCATTGGAAGCTCAGTGCCCTACCACTGAGCTACCCCACTCCCCAAAATAACCTAAAGATAAGTAAATTAAAAAAACATAAAAACATAGTCATACGTATATGCAATATATACAATTAGGCAGGAAACCCCAAGCCAGGCTTCTCCCTCCAACCATAGAAGGAAAAGCAGGACTCTAAAGAGATCCCTGCGCTACTCTCTCAACCGCGTCACTGGTGCTAAAGCCAGTGGAGTTTGGGCGTGAGCGCTTTATCCACACTCATGTTTTGAGTGGAGAATCTGGCCATTGCCAGAACTTCAAGATATATACTACAAAAGATCTCTAGGCCACTGCCGCTTCAACCTTCAAGTAGGATTGTACGGATGAGTGGAACCAGATATGGATTGTGCTAGGGGATTTAGATGATTTATGAGGTTCTGATGGAATTTGGAAGATAAGGTCGATGACAAATGGGATATTAAGGTCATGATGTAGGGTTTTTTTGGTTACATAGAACGGAGGATCGACTATTGTTCGGAGGACTTATATGTAATTAGACGAACAATAATACTTTTAGAGATAATTTGTTTCAGTCTCCCCTACCGTAGATTCGCCTGTGATGCCCAATGCTTTTATAATTTACAAAATTAGGTATGCCTGCGTCTAAGATGTTTATTTTCATTACTTTTTTTTTTAAGATAATTTTAATTCTATTATATTTTCGCTATGATATTTTATTTTGTTCTTATTTAGCTTTATATTATTTTAAAATTACCCTATGTATTTATTTATTTTTAATTTGTAAATATTGTGTGAATGTGTTCCCAGAACTCTATTATAGATGTCCTTTATTGAGACAGATTGTTATATTTATCAATAAACAAATAAATTTATAAATTAGAAAAGGAAAAAAAAATAGTGAATATATGAATTAAAACACGACATCGGAAGGTACAATAAAGAACTCCTTGGTTGAATAAACTTTTAAGATTTAAAAATTTATTGTTGAATATTTTTTTTTCTTTTTTTAGGTCCTCCCCTTCCTTGCCGTTAAGGCTCTACGGAGTTTTCTCGGGCCAGGGGGTGTGGGTGGGGATTTAAAAGACGCTTTGGCACCGGGACGCGAACTCGTGAATATTTTTATAACATTTATCATATATCAGGTTACCGGGCAACGGTAGTGTGCACAAAGCGTTAGCTACCCCGCCCACCCAAACTTTTAATACAATTGATAAAAATTAAAAGATAATTTCATTGGAGTTTTAAATTTTTTTTGTTTTAATTGAAAATAATAATAAACTATTATTATTTTTGGCCTGTTTGAATAATTCGCAGTTGGTCAGTGAACAAATGACAACAGTAATGAAATTGAAAAATTCAATGTATCATGACAACAAGACCCACCAAAATGAAAGAAAGAAAATTACTATAACACTTCTTTCTGGTTTTAAATCGAAATGTTTAAGAATTACAGTAACATGTATCTGTAATAATTTTGTTTTGTAGGTAATTTAGTACTTTTGAGTTATTTGCAAATAAAGTTTCATTTATTTTATTACTTTTCTTTTTAAAATTTCAGGAAAGTATAACTATTTTTCCCATCTGAAGTTGAAGAAGAACTTCAACAAAATGTGAGCTCATTTTAGGAAGATATGGGGTACCGAAAAAAATATCTTTGAGAAATAATATAGTTTTAGGTATTAAAATTTTGAATGTTCTTTTCATATCGTTGCAAGATTTGCAGTAGTGATCAAACACTTAAGTAATAAGCAGCTAAACGTCCATTTTGGGAGAAAAACAGCAGCGAGCATAGCGACGAAATCAAGTATGTTTGATTTCTTCGATCTTATCCTAGTAGCAGCGTTCATAGTGGCGCTGATCTGATTTCCACTAAGCGGTGTTCTATTGAAATGCATGTGTTTGTATTTGTCGCTAGTATCGTCGCTCTACTATGTGATCACCCTATCTTAAATACCTAATATCAGTTCTGTACGACATTTCGTTTTACAGCTAAATTGATCACATACATACACAAATTTTGCGGGACTTTTTTAGAGTTATTTGGACTCAGGGGACCTCAACACCTGTTTTTTCGTTGAAAACTGAGATTCGAAAATTTTCACGATCGCAATACTTTTTATTAAATATGTATGTATATATATACTTATTATATATTAAATATATTGTTAAGTAAAAGTAAAAATTATAAAAGAAGAATGGTTGTTAGTATGATAATCCTATATACTGTAAAATAATCACGAATTTCAATCTTTAAAACTATTTATAAAAAAAGAATGTATGGTAGTTCTATATATTGTGAAATAATCACGAGCATTAACCTTTAAAACATTTTAATGAAAGCAAACACCATTATTCAAACTTCCGTAGAACTAGTTTCAAATATTATTATTCAATTTTTTCTTCCAATTATCTGATGATTTTTTTATATACTTTTTATTCCTCTTCAGTTCCAAAGCTCCTATTTCAGTTTTTTCCTTCAGTTTTCTGTAATTTACATCATTCTGATCATCTTCAGCATGCGCATCAACGTCTTTACTTGTATTTTCGATCCAATTCGACCACTTTTCAACAAAGTTTACAACACCTGTAGCCCATTTTGACCACGTTTTCATATCTGCTGAAGTTTTTATAGGTTTCGAAGTTTTAGGTCTTTCACAAATAGACGTTGGCAGCATAGCTACTCTCTTTTTGCGAGCAATTTTAGTCCGATCACAAATTTCTTTTTGGTCTATTTTCTTTACCTCATAGAAACAGCCTTCCTTATTTTTTATAACTCGGTATGCTTCTTTCCTTTTGGAAGGTTTTAGTCCAGGTATTTCATCTAGGTCCTTCGGAACATCAGATGTCTTTTTAGAAGTTATCGAAGAATGGCCAATTGATTCTTTTAATTCATTATCAGGAACAGATTTCTTTTCTTCGGTTGAAACCGGCTCCGTTTCCACTATATCTTTCATATCAGTTTCATCTATACCTTTTGTGTCTCCAGCAGCTGATTCATCTATATCACCTTCTTCTTCGGTCAGTTCTTCATGATCTTCTTCCTCTTCCTCTTTCTGTTCTTCCTCTTCCTCGTTCTGTTGTTCCTCTTCCTCTTTCTGCTCTTCCTCTTCCATCTTCTCCTCTTCTTCTTCCTCCGTCTGTTCTTCCTCTCCTACCTTCTGTTCTCCTTCTTCTTCCTCCAGTATTTCCTCTTCCACCGGCTGTTCTTCCTCTTCCATCGGCTGTTCTTCCTCTTCCACCGGCTGTTCTTCCTCTTCCATCGGCTGTTCTTCCTCTTCCACCGCCTGTTCTTCCTCTTCTTCCGCCTGTTCTTCCTCTTCCACCGCCTGTTCTTCCTCTTCATCCTTTTGTTCTTCCTCTTCTTCCTTTTGTTCTTCCTCTTCCACCTTCTCTTCTTCCTCTTCCGCCTTCTCTTCTTCCTCTTCCTCCTCCTTCTGTTCTTCCTCTTCCTTTTGTTCTTCTTCTTCCTTCTGTTCCTCTTCAACCGCTTTCAGTTCTTCCTCTTCTACTTTTTGTTCTTCCTCTTCCATTTTCAGTTCTTCCTCTTCCACCTTCTGTTCTTCCTCTTCCACCTTCTGTTCTTCCTCTTCTACCTTATGTTCTTCTTCTTCCTCCTTCTCTTCTCTCTCTTCATCCTTCTGTTTTTCTTTTTTTCTGTCTTCTTTAGGTTTTTTCATTGATTTTGAAACATCACGGGACATACTTTCTGATTTTGTAGATGACCGTTTCTTTTCTGGTCTGCTTGGCCACATTTCATATTCTTGACAAATTTTATAATCCGCCTTCTCTAATTGACTCGCTAACCATACAGCAAATCTTTCTGCCAAAAATACTTGAAGTCTTTGAAGGTGATTTCGAGGATCATTGAGAGTACACCATTCTCCTGTTATATCACATATCTGATTTAATACATTTTCAGCAATCGTCTCAACCTTCTTCGAGCGTCTGGCGCACATCAGTGAAACTAGATAATCAGTCATTTTAGCTCTTAACAACCTTTCGAATTCTTTTAACCAATGTCCTTTGACATTAATATCGATTTCGTAGCACTTGTTTGTTTTATTTTTTTTTTTAGTTTTTTTTTGTGATTTAATGAATTCTCCAGCTTTCCTGTAAAAACAAATTTACTTTTACATATTATTCTACATATGTTTGTGATACACTCTTAACTGCTTTGAACTATATTAGTTCATTGAAAGGACATTCTTTGTTACCTTTTCAAATATTATTGTTCCTTATTAATATTTACATTAGTAATAATATATAACAATATGGTATTTACATTAGAATTTACGCAGTTAAGTAAGCTTCAATCATATGATGTTTATTTTGCGTAACATGATTCCAAATTTGGACTATATTACAACGATTTAATTTTTTGGGGGGGGGGTGAAAGTGGCTGAGTATTTCATAAAATTCCCTAGTTTTGCCCAAAGTTAGTTAAATAAATAATATAGGTTTATAACGAGTAAGAAAAGGGAGGATAAAAGAATAGCGTGTTTGCTGGCTCCGAATGGTGCGGATATAATTGATATTTTCTTGAAACTTCTATTACTAAGTTAACATGATTTGAAAAAACTATAAATCAATTAACTTAGATCACTATTAGTTCAGTGAAACGTACACTTAGCGAAAAAAAAATCAAATATCTGCTCTTTATTACAGTTTTAAAAGATTTTAGCCAATTATGCCAATGGTTGATATAATTTCTAGAGGTGCAAGTTATCATAATTTGTGAGCTGAATTTTTATTATCTATTTCAATGTTACTGGCGTAAAAGGTAAGTTTTAGTAATATATACCTTACCAAAAGAAAGGTTTTGAGTTCTCCTTAGTCCAAATAACCAAAGTTGTAAAGCTTTGCAAAATGGCCTTTGTATGGATTGTATGTAATTATCTTGCCTACAGTTCTTTATGGGTGCGAAACTTGGCCGCTTACATTAAGGGATGAGCAGCGTCTTAAGGTTTTTGAAAATAAAGTATTGCGTAGAATATTCGGACCGAAGAAGGATGAGTTAACCGGAGAGTTCAGACGGTTACACAACGCAGAATTGCGTGAACTGTATCCGAGTAATATAATTGAGATAATTTCATCGCGGCGAATCAAATGGGCTTGTAAAGTTGTTGGACTTAGTAACGAGAGAATTCCTAAAAGGTTAATATTTACTGTGCCGAATGGTAATTACCGAGGGGTAGACCGAAGCGAAGGTGGGAAGATTGCATTAAAGCCGATCTGAAGATACTGGGTTTGGACGGCGAACGGTGGAGGGAGGTGTGTAATAAGCGATTGGTGGTGTCGGCATCAAACCTTCGGGTTCGCTAAGCCTTTTTATTTATTTATTTTATTTATTTATGGATTGTATGTGCGAGTATGAGCGAGTTTTTAGACTATTAATATTTTCTCGAAAACAACCGAGGGATAACAATACAAAATAAAATATTGGTATTGCAATTCAATGCAATTTTAAATGCTCCAAATGACATAGTGAAGTTATTCGCAACTTTTATTTATAGCATTTCTAAGTCAATTTCAACTTTTTCCAAGTCAAATTCAACCTTTTCCAAATCAAATTAAACTTTTTCCAAGTCAAATTCAACCATTTCCATTTCAAATTAAACCTTTTCCAATTCAAATTCTGAATTGATTTTTTTTTAAATAGCGGCGATCTCCCCCCCCCCCTATAATATGAAGGTCTATTATTATTCTCCCCTAAGGAGAGTTTTCAAAAGACTATCGATTTTATGTTACACTTACGGATATTGATTTATTGAACCTATTTCGATTTATTAAGATCTTGTATTATGCTGTCGTTTTTTTAATTAATTTTTCTACGGCTTCGGAAACATAAGAGTACGCCCTTATATCGAATAAATCTAAAAAACTTAAATAACTCTTAAAACGGTGGTCTAATCATAAAATGGAGGTCATTTTAAAATCTACAGCTCCGGAAACATAAAAGTACACCCTTTTATCGTATAAATCCAAAAAACTTAAATAAGTCAAAACGCGGTGGCCTAATCATAAAACGGAGGTCATTTTCAAAATATGTGGCTCCGGAAACATAAGAAAACACTCTCCTTAGGGGAGAATAATAATATACCTTCATATTGTAGGGGGGGAGGAGGATGGCCCTTATTTTTAAAAAAAAGTACAAAAATTCGGAACATTAATTTGAAATGAAAACGGTTGAACTAGAAAAGGTTTAATTTGAAGTGGAAATGGTTAAATTTACTTGGAAAAAGTTTAATTTGATTTGGAAAAAATTGAATATGACATGAAAATATTATACTGAAAAAATCTAAAAAGCTAAAATAAATGGAAATGTAACTGCGTTATCATAATTGTTTTGTATTTTTCAAAAGCTATGCCTTCGATAACATAGTAAATGGCCTTCATTTCGAAAAAAAAACTCGATAATTGACAAATATTCGGAAGTTTTATTTGAAATGGAAAAGGTTGAATTTGACTTGGAAAAGGTTGAAATTGACTTCGAAATGCTATATAAATAACATTTGATTCATACGATAGATATTTTAATAATGATTTATTTGATGTCGTTGAAAAACAGCACAAATATGGCGAAACCTAGTTGGAAGGAACTGGATTGGAGAATAACTACCGTAATACCAATTCCGAAAAACTTGCATCCTTTATCAAAACGCTCGTGATGAAAATTTAGGAGACGATTGTAAATACTGTACTGGTCAATATAATACAAACAACAAAAATCTTTTTTATCTATAACGGAAATATATTAATAATAGACAGTTTTCTAGTCATTAACAGTTAATAAGCTTTATACTACGAAAAGAGACAGTAAATATGAGTAGATTTACAATTAGACCACTTGAGAGCGTGATGCCTGAACATCACGTGATATCATGTCATAATAGGTAGTTGATATTTTAAGGAAGCAAAGCTGGAATTAAGGTTTATTTCAAGGAGGTCAGTTTGAAATTATGATGAATAAGACTGTGCAGAATTAATTCTAGGTTTGGCTATTGACTCCTAAACCCTTATCACTGGCGGATCCGAGATTTAATTTTGGGGGGAGGCTTCAGCCCGAAAGAATTTTTTTTCATTTATATAACGGTAATTAATTTGAGAAAAAGAAAGAAAGAAACTAACTACCTATATGACATGGTGTTTAAGTGATACTTGAAGTCCTATTCAATGTAATTACACGAACGATAATACTTTAAGAGATAGTTTTTAATATTTTTTTCTATAAAACATGGTTATATTTTATCGGGCTTCAGCCCAAAAGCCCTCTCCATCCCCGTAGATCCGCATGTGACTCTTAGTGTCCATTTTTCAGATACAGTTCATGTATAGTACAGATTTTTTTTATTTTCATGAATAAATAACTAAGGAATATATAGAAAAAAAATCGATAAAAGTCTATAAAATCCATTTGGAAAAAAACCACCATCATAACTAAAGTTTTGTTCTCATTAATGTTTAAAATTTCTCTTAATGTGTCTATTAGCGGTATATTTCACTTAGTTCGATTATTTAGACAAACATTTTCAAGTATCGATGCGATCCTAATACCACCGGGTGGATCTGAAGAAGCTATCTCTCGGAAAGAACCCCTAGTTAGAATATTACTGGACGTAGAGGAAATATGTGACTCCATGCGGAAGGAATCATTGCATTAATCAGAATATTAAGGGCCTGCAAATAACTTCTGTAGCAATAGAATGTAGCGCCAATAGCAAATGATTTCTCCTTGAACCCCTTTTATTTATATATTTAACATTCTTCCCCGAAGAGAAACATTTTTTGTATAGTTTATTGATTAATAATGCAATCTGCCTCATTTTAGGACAATAATTATTATAGCTAAAAGAGTTCAAGTTCATTCGTACAATATATACAAGAAATAAGAAATAAATATAAATAATTAAAAAAAAAAAAATACATATATACATATATATATATATATATATATATATATATATATATATATATAAGTAATCTTCTTATACACAATCATACTTACATACAATATCTGCATCCGCCCAGGAAAGGTAGAGCCATCTTTGTCCTCCACATGTGTAAAACAAAGGAAGTCTCAGAAGTTCCCAGTGCTTCTCTTCCAGCCGCGTCACTGGTATTAGAAGCCAGTGGAAACTGAAAGAGGGCACTGGAGCCACAGACGCTCAGGACTTGAGTGGAGAAGCTGGTCATTGCCAGGCCTCCAAAAGTATATTTACAAAAGATCTCGGGCCCACTATCTCTAAAAACTTCTAGGCGGATTATGGTAATGGTGGGAGCTGGATAGGGATTGAGCTAGAGGGTTAAGACGATGAAAAAGATTCTGGTGAAAGTTTGTCAATCTGGATGGGATAACATCAAGGACAGACGGGTGTTAAGGTCATGGTGTAAGGTCTTGTTTGTGACATAATAAGCATTGACTATTGTTCTGATTACTTTGGACTAGGAAGAGTTTGATACGTTTGATATTCGATATTTCATAAATTCAGCCGTCTCCCACAGTTCAAGTTGTCCAGATAGGTGAAATGAAACAGTAACGTTAACAACTACACAAGTGGTACTGAACTATTTTGTAGTGTGAGTACATATAAAAGTGAATGTATGATTGTATAACAGTAGGGGGAAAAATGTTGGAAATATGCAAATTCATCTATGTTTTCATCAAATTCCGTATAATGATTATGGTCGAATTGCGACCACTAGGCGAACACTAGTTACTTTATTCATCTAAAGGTAAAATAGAATAATTTATAACACTTACTTGGGTGTCATACCGAATTCCACAACTAGCATTCTTTTTAAACGATTTATCATTTCTGGCGACATCAGAGGAAATATCTGCGATACAAACTGGTGCATGTACCTAAAATTATTTAATATCCATTAATGCAACAAGCAAAAATACTGTGAATAATGCAAAGCATTCTTAATTAAAATGTGCAGGTAACCGAAAGTGCACTATATTCTTTTATAAGAATAAGTATTTACAATATAGTAAACAAAAAACGAATAGGGCAGTTGACAGTGAGGCGAACATAATACAAAACCACTTGCAAATGGTAATATTTCAGATCTCTTTCTTGACATTCTAGACTTTTTCTTGGGCTACAAAAACAATATACAGAAAAGAAGAAATATACGAAAAGCATAAACATTGTTAATTAAATAGAAAGAAAATAAAAAGAATGAAATGTATGACTAATATAACAAAAAAAAAAAAACCTCACTGCTTAGCACTAAACATTAAAATGAAAACATAAGTATAAAGACATATATTAAAATGATATGAAGAAAACAAGAAAGTAAAGTAAATATACAATGATAAGAATAAGCCATAACTCTAACAAATAAAAACAGGGAGATTGATTAAACATTTTAGATATATTAATTTAGATTAAAATTGAATATTAGTTATTTTAGATATTAGTGTTTGTTAAAACGAATAGCCAAAAAGTAATTTTATTAAAGCTTTATTGCCCATTTTACTTCTGAATAGGTAAAGTGCAGTTTTTGGTTATTAAAATGAAGGAATGCAAATCGACTTAGTTGGATATCGCATTCTTGGACCGCTTATGAAATCACCACAAATAATAATTCCCAATTCAGTTATTCAAGAGGTGTCTGGGAGTCGTTCACAGGTCTCTAACTCCTATCTGAAATCATTGTAGAAAAAAACAATAAACCTAAACGACCAACGATAAATTTGTCGATCATAGCAACAAATATGGAATGTTAGCTCATAATTCAAATAATGAATTAGAAAATTCACTACAGAAACCAGTCATACCAAACTATAACACATATTCGTAAACGACATAAAAAAAAACACCCAATTCTAATAATTCCTCGAAATGGTTAACTGGTCGAAATTGCCCGTCATTATTTAAACTTCAGGCAACAGTTAATTAAGTTCTATCTTGAAACATCCTGGTATCTTATTGTCCAATTGTTAACAGCTATTAGCCACCTAAGTTCGAGAGACCTTGCAAAAAAATTAACATTACCTGATGAACATTTTGAATATTCATAACATTCATATTAAAAAAATTATATGATGCAAGTAGGATCATGCTACCTGTAAAATGACAGCTGATTTAAATAATGTTAGCCTATTAACTTAAGGATCGAAACGGGTAATTTATTGCGAAAAATGTGAGCAAAATTTTAATTTTTTTAACTTGTATTTTTGGGTTTAAACAGGCAAAATTGCTAACGTGGGCCCTCGGCGGCGGGGTGGCCCAAAGGACTAACGCATGTGCACAGCGCGCTGCCCGGCAACCTGATACAAAAAAAAAATACAAAGAAAAGTACAAATAGATTAACAGTTATAGAGCATCAAAATCCACATCCACTAGGTACTAGCAGTTTGAATGTAGATCAATTATATCTCTAAAATCGGAATTCATTATTTCTTCATAAAAATTGCTTTCTTTTGACATCCCATTTCTCTATCCTACTGAGAGTTGAAGAAGAGTTCTATACGATATGTAGCAGATTCTAAACAATAATAACTCAATGCTTTAGACACCCATCAGATTTCCGATTTTGGGCGGAATAAGTAAGGGGGGCGCACCCGGCCTCCGACATGCCTCTTATTTCATGCATTATATTTATATAATATCTTCTTATTGTGGTGATTTATTATTAAGTTTAAAAAAAAAAATGTGAAGTTTAAAATTTATGAAAATATGGTAATTATTTCCTAGATTATTTAAAATGGTAATAAAATACATCCTTATATTTTTAAAAAGTAAACTGATTTTTATAGATTTTAGTTCTAAGGTCATTGAATTGTCAAATTCCATTAAATTAAACTTGTCAATTAGTCTTTCTAAATTCTATTGATGCGGAATTTCTTTTGCAGTTAATTCTTAATCCGGGAAAATTCTTCTTAAATCATTTATCATACATTACTGAAACTGGTGGAATGAAGTGTTCAAAGGCTACCTTTGTTCGGCTTCCTCAAGTATTTTCTGATCGTCCTGATATTTTTTTCTCGTTGGCATTAAGAGTGAAAAAGGTTTTGGGCCAGTGTAGTTTGGTGGGAATCCTCCATTCCATCGATATCTATGACAAACAATTAAATTAATCAAAATGTTTTTAACTACTTTTGTATCATCTCACCAAACGCTAAGAATCATTGATAATACTTCTAAAGTAAATATTTGACGTAAATCTTCAACATGAACTGTATTGAAGTTTATATCGTGGTAGGGTTGTTGATAACAGAAGGGCCCAAGATTGATTATTCTCATTGTAGATGCAAGCAGTCAGGATCTATGCCTAAGATAACAGAGAAGGACATAGGAGGTAACAAAAGGGACCCTGAGACGTTACCACAACCTACGAGAGGTACGACAACTTCGTTAAGGTTTAAAGAATGTCTAGAAAAATAAAAGTGTAAGTGGTGTATATTTAGTTATATGCTTTATATTTTTAAAGTACATAATGATGTTATATATATATTTATATATGTATATAACATCATATATATATATATATATATAAGATAAAGACCGGAGACTGGCGGTATCAGCCTTAATACTATCTGGTAATGTAAATAAACAGGCTAAGTGTATATAAGGAGGCTTATGGAACGAATAAAGCAGTGTTATTTCAGAAGTCGTGTATGTTACATCTTTTCCCTTTTCCTTCTTTTTTTTTATTTCTTAAGTCCGACGACGCTTAACTGGTGCCGAAACCCGGGACAACGTCAGGGAAGTAATTTTTTTTTAAGTAGATATTTTTTTTTTTTGGTGTTTAAGGAAAAGGTGAAATGCCGACAGAAGGATTGATTAGACCGGGAGTACTAAGCGTACCGGAAATTCCTCAACCTCAGGATATTCCACAGATCAATCAGGTACCCCAGATCGCGCCTCAGGTACCTCAGATACCTCAAGTCCCTCAGGTAGCACAGATCCCTCAGATCCAGGAGATCCCTCCATTACCAAGGGACACGTTGGCAGAAGCACACGCCAATGCCTTGGAATGGATGAAAATAAGAGCAACAACCACGCAGGACTTACGGAGGGCCATTGCGGACCTAGAACGATTCGGAGGCGAGGTAGGCGAGCTCAACCATTTCTTGAAAGGCGGAGATCGTCTTATGTCAAGAATCGAGGTGAAGGTGGCGGAGGACCTGGTGAACCTAGGGGACGCGGAAGAACTAAAAGCAGCTCTTGTGTGCCGAGTAAGGAGGAACGTCCTGAACCAGATCCAAGCGGACGAGGAGACTCCGTGGCCGGTGATTAAGGAGCGGCTGAAGAAGGCTTTTGGAGGAGGTAGGTGGACACCGGAAGAGGACATATTCCAAATGTTTAGGGAGCGGCGGGCCCAACGACAGTCAAGGGGGCAATATGCGGGGGTACTCGTGGCGAAGTACAATCGCATAACCGAGAAGATGCGGGAAACAATGAGCGTGGGAGAGGTCGAAGCCAGGATGGAGTTTCTGTCGACAATATTGAAAGTCCAGCTGGCTAAAGAAACGGGGAAGAGGGACGGACTGCCCAGAGAGCGATCGTTCCTCGAATGCGCCCAGGAGATGATCGACCTAAGTGCCAGAGAGGAAGAGACACGGATGGATGTGGAAGAACCGGGTTGGACCCGAGTGACGGATAGACGACCATGGACAGCCCCGACAGGTTGGAGGAAGAGGGACACAAGGCAGCCGAGTGGAGAAAAAGCCCCGACGAGGGAAAGAAGATCGGGACAGTCGTCGAGGCCGAGGAATGGGCCCCGGAGGGAAGAGAGAAAATGTCACGGGTGTGGGAAGCCGGGACATTTAGTAGCGCAATGTCCGCGCACCAGATGCTTCGAGTGCGGGACGGAAGGGCACATAGCAAGGCAGTGCCCATACATATTTCACAGGAGGGAGAGACCTCAGGACGAACCCATGGAGGTGAATGTGCAGAGGATGAAAAGACGAGCCAGGGTACATCAGCGGGACGGATCTTCGGAGGAGGCAACCGAGGAGTCAGGAGCGTCGGGAACGGAGACGGACGAACCAGGCAGCAGCGGAGGTGAAGGAGGTAGGCGCAGCCAACGGAGTGAGCAGCGACGAGCGGCGGCAGAAAGGAGGAAGCGGGACGACATCTGAGGAGTGTGTCGGCAGAGAGGCGACCGCACAGCAATATGCAACAACGTCCGAGGTAAGCCATGCTGGTTGCCAATTATCGAAGTAGACGGGGGAGTAAAGTGTCTTGTGGACACGGGTAGCTCGAGCACTATTATGACTCGAAGGGCGTTAGGAAAAGGGTGCGGGAGCGAGAGGGTACTCCGGATACAGAAATGTGACTGCCAGCTGATCACTCTGGGTGGTCCCTGTAGTGTAGAGGGTGAGGCGACAATTGGGCTTGATCGGTGGACAGGGAAAGAGGGTGAGCTAAGGGTGCATGTGGTGGAGAACATGACTCGGGAATACCAAGTCATAGTAGGGTGCGATTTGTTAGGTCAGGTAGGGGCGAGCATTAGAAATCGTAGAGGAGTCTGGAGCGTTAGGTTGGGAAAGAGGAAGTTCGGATGTATAGGGGTCGCGAGAGAAAGAAGGGTGCGGATAGGAGCGGTGGACAGAGTGGAGGACTGGAGGAAGTTGCTACAAGAGGAGTTTAGGGATATCTTCTTCAGGGAAGGTGAGGTATTAGGGGTAACAGGGAGGACGGTGCACGAAATCCCACTGAAACAGGAGAGGGTAACTTACGTGAAAGAGAGAAGATACCCGCAGGCGTTGAGACAGCATATTCGGGAGGAGCTAGATAGTCTAAAAGAACAGGGAATCATAGTTGATAGCACCTCACCATTCAATAGTCCCCTGTGGGCGGTGAAAAAGAAGGCAGCGCCGGGGGATAATAAGGAAAAATACAGGGTGGTAGTAGACTATCGTAAATTGAACGATAACACGGTAGACGAGAAGTACCCGATCCCGAGATTCGAGGATATACTCGATAGGTTGAGTGGGGCCGTGGTCTTTAGCACGCTGGACCTCAAGGCGGGATACCACCAAATACGGATGCACCCGGAAGACCAACACAAAACAGCGTTCACATTTGAAAGGGGGCATTATGAATTCACCAGAATGCCGTTTGGTCTGAAGAATGCGCCCATAACATTTCAGCGTCTGATGGACGAATTTTTGAGGGGCATCGATGACTCGGTATGCCAGGTATACATGGATGACCTGCTGATTTTTAGCAGAACGGAAACCGAGCACGTGGGACATCTGAGGGCAGTATTCGAAAGGCTCCGGCAATTCGGGCTGAAATTGTCAAGCGAGAAGTCTCTGCTGGGACAAACGCGGATCAATTTTTTAGGCCACACTATCTCTAGCGAGGGGGTCAGACCGGATGCGGCAAAGGTGGAGGCAATCACGCGGATGGCGGTACCACGGGACGTCAAGGGGATTCGTAGGCTTCTCGGGACGCTGAATTATTACCGGAGATTCGTACCCGAGATGGCAGAGTATTTGGTACCCATTAACAATTTGTTGAAGAAAGGCGCGAAGATTGTGGTGACACCAGAGATGGAGAATAACATTCGAAAATGTATGAATAGGTTGCTGACGGAGCCGGTGTTAGCGTTCCCGGATTTCGAGAAGCTTTTTAATATAACCACTGATGCGAGTGAATACGCGCTAGGGGCCGTTTTGTCCCAGGGGGGGAGTGAGGGTGAACGACCGATAGCATACGCGAGCCGTCGGCTTACGGGTGCGGAATCAAGGTACAGCGCTTTGGAGAGGGAGCTACTCGCGATAGTATGGGCTATCGACCATTTCAGGCCATACGTATTCGGGAGAAAATTTCGAGTCCATACCGACCACAAACCCCTCCAGTGGGTAGGAAAACTCAAGGAAACCTCAGCTAGGGTCACAAGATGGAAGGAGATCCTAAGCCAATACAACATAGAGGTGGTGTATAAGCCGGGAAAGGAAAACGTGGTGGCAGACTGGCTCTCGAGGGCCATCATGATCAACGCGGTTGAAGAGGACAGGGGAGGACCATCGCAGGACGTGCGTCAATTCTTGAGGGAATGGACTCCCGATGGCGAAGGGGCAAATGACACCGCAGGGATTGAGGACAGGGGAGATTCCCCAGAAGAGGAGAGCTCAGCGGAAGAAAGGGCAGCGGAGATGGAAGAAATAGAGGAGATCGTGAACGACAAACACCGTCAGGTGATTTGGAAGACACGAACAACCGGAATCATGAAGATCGATTTCAGAAGGTACGGGAGAAGTAGGATCCGCGTCATTTGGTCGCAGCCCGGGGTCAGCGAAGAACAAATCTGTACGGCACTGAGGGATGCCTCGGAAGCGGGTAAAACGCACTACCTATACGTGGGAAACAATACGGTATGGGATAAGATCAAGCGAATGTGGAGGTCCGAGCGAATAGGCGTGGACAGGACATTCATCCGGTGCAAGTATGCTGTGGAGACGGTACAGGACGAAGAGCAGCAGCAAGCAATCACAGTAGCATATCACCAGGGGAAAACCAATCACCGAGGCGTTAATGAGACGCTGCAGGCATTGCGTCGGAAGTATTTCTGGTGGGGCATGAAGAGGTCCATCCAGGAAGTCATTGGGAAATGCGAGATATGCATGCGCACAAAATACGATCGACACCCCCCCAGAGGAGTTCAGGAGGAGACACCTACAGGGAATATGCCGCTACAGGACCTTCAGATTGACACGTTTACCTGGAAAGGGTTTAAGTGGGTCACGGTAATCGACATATTCAGCAAGGTGGCGATGGCATACCAAGTGATGGAGAAGTCAGCCAATGCAGTTGCGGAAGCCCTACAAACCTGGGTGCAGTTCTATGGGGTCCCCGAGAGGATTACTTCGGACGGTGGTAGGGAGTTCGACAATGCCGCGATTAGGGAGGAGGTGAAGCGATTGGAAATTGCGTGGCATTATAACACCCCAGGACATCCTAAAGGTAGAGGCGGTATTGAACGGCTGCACAGTACGTTAAGCGACCACGTCCGTGTATATCAGGGTGAAAAAGGGTTGGAGCCGGATGTGGCAATGAGGAAAGCGGTAACAGCCTATAACCACTCGATCCACTCCGTAACGGGGTTTTCACCCATGGAAGTTCTATTCGGGATGCGCAGGCCAAGGCGGGATTATGGGGAAACTACGCTTACCGAACCGTTAGTGGATCAAATTCTCAGCAATAGGGTAGAGGTAGAGAAAACATGGGGAAAGATAACGGCGAGAATTAAGCGGGAAAAGCAGAAGCGGGTGGAAAGGCAGAATGTACAGGTACGCGACCAAATGGGGGAACTAAAAATAGGAACAATAGTTTACCGGAAATTGGGAACCAACAGAGGGAAACAATTGCTACGGTACGAGGGTCCATTCAGAGTGGTTGTTATTAGGGAGCATAACCTGGTAACTATTGAGAGCGTGAATGAGCCCAGAAAGAGGAGAACCGTTCATATCGAACAATTAAAGCTCCCAATGATAGAGTCGGGACATAGACCTACGGATTCGTAGTACCCTCACCGCTGTATATAAAACAGAGAAATATGTTTTTTTGTGGCTGTCAAAACAAAACAAGTTGTAAAAAATTTTTTTTTTGTATTATTTCATGTATAGAGGAAATTGTGTTTTTTTTTGTTGTTGTTAGGAGTTCTCAAGTGGTAGGAGTTCTAAAGTGCTGTGTTTAGTTTCAGTGTTTTTAATTATTTTTTCTTTATTTATTATTTTTCCAGTTGAGTGGAACTATTTTATTTTCTTTTAAGGATATACTGTAAAACCAATTGTAAAGTGTTAAGGCTGGTCACCGTGGGCTCCGATCTAGGAATATTTAAGTTTCCGAAAATCCTGTTCGTAAACTGGTGGGGGGGAGATAAAGACCGGAGACTGGCGGTATCAGCCTTAATACTATCTGGTAATGTAAATAAACAGGCTAAGTGTATATAAGGAGGCTTATGGAACGAATAAAGCAGTGTTATTTCAGAAGTCGTGTATGTTACATCTTTTCCCTTTTCCTTCTTTTTTTTTATTTCTTAAGTCCGACGACGCTTAACTTATATATATATATATATATATATTTACTCTCCACAAAAAAAATGCAGAGTGCGCCTAAATAAGTTTTAACTAACAAAAAAAAAATTATAATCTGATTCATTGCGATAATTGTAATTATTTTAATTAAATTCCCAGCCAGATTTACATTCGATGTTACTCTGTTCATTAATATATATATATATATATATATATATATATATATATATATATATTTTTTTATTTTTTTTATTTTTTTTATTTTTCTCTGTAGTAACCTACAGAATAGCGTATATTAAGTGTGCATACACCATGCAAAAGCATATTGCATATGTCATAAGAAAGTAGGCTTTCTGAGAAAGAGACGAAAATGACGAAAAATATTTAGAAAACTGGTTCTAAAATATACATTAGTCCCCATTCTAACATACAATAGTAAATTCTGGACTATTACCTCAAAGCACACGAGCAAACAATGGAAATGCGGTTTCTGAGGAGAACAATGGGGGGGGCAGGAATAAGGGCAAAATCATAAAAACAACGATAACAGATAATCTGAGAATAAAACAATCAGAGAATAATTGAGAAAAACATGCTACATTGGTCTGGTCATGTCACAAGAATGCAGGAAAGAGAATACCAAAAGGAATACTCAGAAAGACTTGGGAAGGCTCAGTCAGAGAGGATTTCGATAAGAGAGAAAATGAACTGGAACAGAAGCAGTCAGATGAAGCATGTACGAAATAAATCGATCAGACTCTATAAATAGAATCCTCCAGGCTGTTCTACGATTAAAGAGGAAGAAAAACCGTTTAAGAAGAATATATAACATAACCCTACAGGTTTAGAAACCTTATATCTGCTATAATAGATTATGTTTTATATATACAAATTTTAAATTTTAAATACCCTCTTGGTGTTGCAAGAAGTGCTATGTGTTCCTTTTGCTTGAGCTGGCTTCTATCAATCAATGGTGCTCGGAAGTGCTGGTGTGGACATGGGCAACTGCGGTTTGGCGATTCTGACATATGCATGTTACATGAAGTATTGCATCTATGTGATGTCTTCATGGCTGGTTATTGCTCTGTAAAAAAAATATATATATATTCAAAATAAAAATTAAACAAATGAAATCATAAGGCACATAACTCTTAGCCAATGCTAATAAAAGAGGGTAGAGAAGATTAAAAAAAATAGAATATATATCAAATAGATAGATATCAAGATATACGTGCGGTCAACGGAGCATAATCAAAAATACTAGCATAAAATTTACTCATTATCTCTTACAGTTTTTCAGCATCTATTATAATTAGTGTTTTTGTTATTGAAATCAAATAGTTTTTAACAATACATATAAATAGCATGTTTGGCTGTTTTTGGCTTAAATTTCACGATTTTGATTTTTGTTGCATCTAACATTGCATTTTTACACTTTTTGTGCTATATTAGTTTATTTTAAATATAAATGTTTAAATTTTGTATTTTACTATCTTGTACATCTTATATTCATAATGTAGTTTAATTAAAAGAGTTTTATAGTTTGATCATTTAAATTTCACATTTGCACAAAATAACTTTAAAAACCAATTTTCTTCAGGTAATTCACAACTTGTAAATTTTGTTCAGTATTATACATTAGTAATTGGTTTTTTTGGTTTTTTTTTTTGTTAATTAATGTTGAATAAAAATTTCTTCAAGCATGCAAAGAAAAACATACAACAGAACATTTTATGTTCATACAGTTGTATGAATCAACTTCGACTGTTTCTTTATCTTCGGATACGAAGATGTGTGTATTTCTTCTTTATCAAGTCGATCTTGAATGTAAAATTGAAGGCCTACGACAATATAATTAATGCGTGAATTATCAGACATGGTAAGTTCAGTTTGTTAAAAGAACCTTTCTTTATTTAGAGCATAATCCAATAATGGTCCATTTATCGATTCGAAATTGTAAGCACAATGTACACTATCTTTTATCCCTGTAAGTACAGGCGGATTTACAGGGGAGCTTTCGGGCTGAAGCTAAAATGGTAAAATATAACCATATTTTATATATATAATTAAATAAGTGACGTATGTAGTATTAAAATAAGTGATGATCGTATACTCTCGTTCATTTTAAGTTACAATTTTGATTAATAGCTTATTTCAAAGGAGATGAAACGATGAACATATTCCCTCGCTACAGTATGCAGCTCCGATTGTTGGTTTTTGAGACATTTTACTTCATATGAAAAAAACACTTCAATTAGTCGACTCCAGGCGACTTTGCCGGAGCGTTACACATCGGAAATCTGACGGCTCAATCTAATTCACTCTCCAAAAAAAAATGCAGAATGCGTCTAAATAAGTTTTCACTAACAAACAAAAATTATAATTTGATTCATTGCTTTAATTTTAATAATTTTAATTAAATTCCTAGCCACTTTTACATTCGATGTTACTCTGTTTATTAATAGAAAAAAGTACAGATGTGTATTATCGTCATTGGAAAAATCATAGCAATTGTTTAATTCAACATTTATGTATAAAAGAAAAATTCATTTCACTCACTAACTTATTGACCATTGCATCTCAAAACTGACAATACTTATAAAACTGAATGGTATCATTGTATAAGTAAGTGTCACTCCAATATGACGAGAAGCTTATTCACGGAGGGCAACCCCCCCCCCTCCCCCTACGCCCCACCTACCGCGAACTTCCCTTCCCCCCCACATCCCTATAAATTGCATATCTTTGTGTTCCTTGTAACTATTTATTAAAAAGTAAGCCAATGTTCTCACAAAACAAAGTGAACGAACTGCCAGCAAAATGGCGTCTAAACATGGCGGAGTCACGACTTTGACTTTAGTTTGTTTATTTGTCACTGAGAATCAGCATTTGGCTTGATTTTGTCATAGTTGGTCTTTTATTAAATCTAGATAGCCAGAAAATAATAAAAGATGAAAAATAATAAAAAAATAATTGGCTTAGGCTATAAAAAACACCAGTGAATTCAATTTTGTTTGACAAAAAATTTTCAAGTTAAAAATCAAGCGTCGTTTATAATTAAAAGGCTAATAATAAAGCAAAACATGCTGAAATAAAACACCTGGAGAACATATTTATCTTTCCAAAACACTGATTACTTTTTAAAATATTTGTAGGAGTTCCGTAGAAAATGCACATAAGCTGCAGAAAAACGGTACTGGCGTAGGTGCCTTCAGGCCTCTACCACATCATTCAGTACTCAAAATGGTTATAGTGCTATAATAACGTTTTTGGTACATTATATTGATTGTATTAACGAAAAAATATTAAACAATAAAACTTAATTCAAAACTATTTTGCTGAATATTTTGAATTTTTTATTTAACGTTTGCTGTTGATGGTTTTGTGTTGTATATTTACTGATTCTTAGAGGTAATTTAAATTGTATACACTTCTGCGAAAATGAGCCATTAATACCTGTTTTATAAACTAAAATAATATATACCTACTCTGAGCTACATGTAATAAATAGTTGATTAGTTGTTTAGTAAAACTCATATATCACTAAAAAAAAAATAATTGTTATTTCCTTTATTTTGTTCGGAAGTTGGACCATATCATATACAAATAGGAAACTTTAATATTGAATGTATTATTCTCTCTACACAAAGAAAGATGGAAAGGGCGAAACTATAAGTTCTTCTGAATATAAAATAAAATACTGAACTTATAAAATAAGATACTGATCTTATTTTCTTTTCCGATATTTAAGCAAAACAATGTATTTTTCGAATTTTTGGGTTCAATTTCGAGTTTTCCCTCATTTTGAGACCAATTACTAGCAATCATTTCCTGTTATAGTTATATGACGAACTTATAGTTTCGCCCTTTCCATCTTTCTTGTGTAGAGAGAATAATGCATTCAATATTAAAGTTTCCTATTGTTTTATGATATGGTCCAACTTCCAAACAAAATAAAGGAAACAAAACTATATTTATTTAATTATTTTTGTTATGATATGGTCCAACTTCCGAACAAAAAAAAGGAAATAAATTTTTTTTTTTTAGTGATACATGAGTTTTACTAAACAATCAACCAACTATTCATTACATATAGTTCAGATTAGGTATATATTATTTTAGTTTATAAAACAGGTATTAATAACTCATTTCCGGAGAAGTATATACAATTTAAATTACCTCTAAGAATCAGTAAATATACAACACACAGCCATCAACAGCAAACGTTAAATAAAAAATTCAAAATATTCAGCAAAATAGTTTTGAATTAAGTTTTATTGTTTAATATTTTTTCGTTAATACCATCAATATAATGTACCAAAAACGTTATTATAGCACTATTTTGAGTACTGAATGATGTGGTGGAGGCCTGAAGGCACCTACGCCAGTACCGTTTTTCTGCAGCTTTTGTGCATTTTCTACGGAACTCCTACAAATATTTTAAAAAGTAATCAGTGTATTGGAAAGATAAATATGTTCTCCAGGTGTTTTATTTCAGCGTGTTTTGCTTTATTATTTAGCCGTTTAATTACAAACGACGCTTGATTTTTAACTTGAAAATATTATTATTAAAAAAAATTTACTTTTCTTATTAGCCCAGCCATTGGAGCCAGGGCCCAAAAATCGACCTGATAGCAGGCGAAGGTTTGATTGTAAATTACGAAAGTGTACGTTATTCTGAGTAAAAAGAACCTTGTCTGCCGTTCCAGAGCCGCCGCTTTCGAAAATAGCGGCTGATTTAAAAAATATTAGGTGTGTAATTTGAGGATCGAAACGGGAAATCCATTGCGAAAAATGTGGGAAAAGTTTTTATTTTTTTAACTTGTATATATGGGTTTAGACATGTAAAAAACAAAATTGCTAACGCAGGCCACCAAGGGAAAACTTTTTACAGCCAAAAAAGTCAAATTGTTTCGATATTTTTCATCTATAACTCCTAAACGATGCATCAAAGCGAAAAATGTATTCTTTAATAAATTAAAGAACGTTAAATTTTGCGTCTAACGAGTACATAAACTTTATAGTTTGGTTAACTATTATGGTATAAAACCACGGTTAACCAACGCTGATTTTTACCAAATTTGTCAAAAACTGATACAAATTACTATAAACGACCCTGTAACTTGGAAATGAGTTCCCTAAGAGGAAAAACCCATAGAATCAAAGTCGTAGAGCATCAAATTTTGCGTCTGCTGAGTACTAACATTTCCATTGAAGGTCAATTATGTATCTCGAATCGGGATTCGTTATTCCTTTATGAAATTCGGTATCTTTCAACACATCGTTTATCAAAATTCTTTACTCCTGAGAGGTGGAAAAGAGGCTTATACAACATGCAACAGCCTCTAAACAAAAATAAGTAAGTAGAATAGACACCCATACTGTTAAAATATTGAAAATCACGTTTACATTCATTTTCAATTTCCAACCTTCGGAAAATTACCGATTTTGTACGGAGTAAGTCAACTACATTAAATTGATTGGTACTCATTGCACGCAAAATTTTATGTTCTATAACTTTGATTCTATGGGTTTTTCCTCTTAGGGAACTCATTTACAAGTTACAAGGCCATTTATAGTAATTTGTGTAAGTTTTTGACAAATTTGGTAAAAATCAGCATTGGTTGACCGTGGTTTTATACCTTAACAGGTAACCAAACTATAAAGTTTATTTCCTCGTTTGACGCAAAATTTAACGTTCTTCAATTTATTAAAGAATACATTTTTCGCTGTGATGCATCATTTAGGAGTTATAGATGAAAAACCCCAAAAATATCGAAAAAATCTGCCTTATTTGGATTTAAAAAGTTATCCCTTGGTGGCCTGCGTCAGCAATTTTGTTTTTTACATGTCTAAACCCATATATACAAGTTAAAAAAATAGAAACTTTTCTTACATTTTTCGCAATGGATTTCTCGTTTCGATCCTCAAATTATTGGCCTAATATTCTTTTAATTAGCCGCCATTTTCGAAAGCAGCGGCTTTGGAACGGCAGACAAGTTTTTGTTTAGTCAGAATAACAAACACTTTCGTAATTTACAATCAAACCTTCGCCTGCGATCAGGTCGAT